GGGCGGGCCGACGCGGCTGCTGCTGTGGCATCACTCGGATGGAGGTGGTGGAGGTGGTGATGCTGCTGCTGCTGCTGCGCGTCCTCCTCTCTGCGTCGTCGGCGCTGGAAACTGCTGCAGGTCCCCCGGCACAGAGGAGGAGAGGCGGGCTGGGATGGAGGGAGGAATGGATGGAGGGATGGATGGACGCTGGAGGAGCTGATGCTGCTGCTAAGCTGCTGGTGATGTGGGGGAGGATGGGAGAGAGAGAGAGAGAGGGAGAGAGAGAGAGAGAGAGCTCTACCCAGACATGGCGCTGGAGAAGGGAACTCCTACGCAGACCTTCCACGGGGCTGCCTACTGATGCCGCTGGACGCCCCCCTCCTCACCCTCCTCCTCACCCACTCACTCACAGATTGTTGTATGATGAAGAAATGATATGAATACATGCTCGTGTGTGTGTGTGTGGTAATGCATGTGTGTCACATGTCACATGGTGTCGACAAACTAGTTATTACTGCAAGTTAACCTGCTCATCTACACAGCTGTGTTCAAACACTGAGTCACTGAGTCAGTGACTGGAGACACACGTTAACCTACGCCATAGTAACAACAACAACAACAATAATACAACAAAAAGACTGTTGTAACAATGATATTCATTTATTTTTCTTCCATGCTCCTCCCTTTAAACCAGCAGAAATAATAAATCGACTCACCTGCCTGTAATCACCTCACCCTGTTCCGCTTGGTCTCCGGAGAACCCCCGGGTTCTGTTTGTTGGTTCTTCCCAGCTCAAAACTCCTTGGTCCAAAAACAAGTTTTACAACAGTTTTATCACTTCTTTTGGTACTGTTTTTTGTTAACGTTTTTCCAAAAAAGAGTGAATGCTACTTGAACTTCGCCGACGCTCATATTCTACTGTAACTTCCGGATAACTTCCGGTTAATAATAAGCTGTAGAACCTTTATACCTGAACACAGTGGTGTAAAAACAACTGTTTTTTCTTTTAAATTAATAATAAGCTGAAGAACCTTTATATCTGAACACAGTGATGTAAAAACAACTGTTTTTTCTTTTAAAAACTGTTTTTTAAAAAGTTTTGTTTCTATTGTATCCTCTCTACTGTTGTCCCATTAACACTAAATTGGTGGGCTGTCACACTGCTATGCTAAGTTGTGCTACACAACAACGTCTAAAATGGACTCGTCCACTAGATGGAGCTCTAACCCTGTTTTTAACAGCTCCATCAGCCGCAGCTGTGTGCTGGTCGTGTGGACTGAGGTCCAGAGCAGAGACGGAGTTCGTTTGTAACGACACGGTTCTGTCCACGTGACCAAGTCAGAACAATAGTCCGGACATTTTTGTGATACAAAAAAATAAAAATAAAAACTATTATATTATATCAAGCCGACTGATCCCAGACCTGTTTAATGTAAACAGAATGAATCTCCGGCAAATCCATAAGACGCGTCCGATACCTGTCTCTGCCCCGGGGACATCCGTCAGGTTGTCAATAACACTGGGTCACGTGGTGCAGCAAAGACTGATGGGTAATAAAAGGCCAAATAATTCGATTCCTTAAACTGTACAGTGTACGTCACATTCACCTCAGTGACAGCAGCTACTTTCAAAATAACCGTTGAGACTTTTCTAATGAATCCACTCCGTGGTTTTTAGAAGCTAACAGGCTAACCGGAAGTGTCCTATGACCATCAACAAAGTTTCTGTTTTCACTCTGTCTTCTCTGGTTTTGGTGACAGTGACAGTTCTGTAGATCAGCGTTGTTCAAGGTGTAAGCCGTGCTACCGCTGGGTGGCGCCACAGCACTTAAAGGGGCGATGCAAAATGAAAAACAAAACAAAACATTGAATTGTTATGTTATAATAGAATTGTTACGTGTTTGTATCGATTAACGTGCGTCGTTCCACCCCTACACACAACTATCAACCAGTGACTTACTTATTAATTTAGGAATTATTTAAAGTATAAGGAAAATTCTAGCCTTTCAACCCCCCCCAAAAGAGATCCAGTGATGATGTCATCACCTGGTAATCTCATGCTAATGTTAACGTTCACTGAGGTTTATAAAGTAACGTACGTCTTCGGTTCAGATAAACAATCATCTTACGATAAGATGACCTGGATCACTGAGAACCTACCTCACCCCCACCTCCCCCTCACCCCCCACCCGGCCTCCCACCCCACTTTCATTAAGAGCTGTTTTCATTGGCACCGTGTTCTGGCACCGAAGGAAGAACGCAGAATTCCAACAAACCGTGGCTTTTCCAGATTTTCCAGCTTCATGTTTCCACATAACGAACTCACACTTAGTTGTATCAGCAGAGGTGGAATCACATGACATGACATGACATCACATGACATGACCTGGTGTAGGTGACCCTCCACCATTCATTTCTGCCTCACCCGGTCAGTGGGTGAGGCAGAAAGAGTTTGAAAAGTTCACAATCACTCCTGAGAACATTCAAGGTATAATCTGGAACTTTCCCGCTCTGTATTTGCATAACCTCCTTTCCTTCCTCTCCCCTAAATCTTCTCCCTCTCCTCACCTCACACTCCCCCCCCACCGCTCCCCCGTTCTGGTCTCGTCTCCCAGTGTTCCGTCTTTTCAAATCCCAACTCAGAACTCACCTGGAAACTAACGACCCACAGTCACTGTCTCTGTTTTCACTGTCCTGGGAGGTTGGAAAGGAGTTTTGTTAAATATAATTGTTATTATCTGTTGTTAACACCAGGGGACGTCAAACACAGCTCAAGGTTTGACACAGAGACCAGTCTGAACTGGTTTGAGTTGTTAAAACGTCACACATCAGTCTGAGGACTTTTTGACTCCCCCTCAGCTCAATAATTAACAGGTTTTCTGCTGGTTTTTTCTTTTCTTTTTTTCTCAGTTCTGAAAGAAAAACTGTGAAAAAAAGTGTGTTTTCACTGGAATCACCGACTGGAACTGTTTCTCCTCCGGAACCGATTTTACTGAGTGAACTTGAAGTGAAAGAGATTTAAAAAAAATGCAAACGAGGTAATGAAGATACTTCATGGACAGAGTATTTTCGTTTGTACAAGCTGCTTTGGTTTGAAGTTAATCCTGAGACAAAAAAAACAGCGGTCGGAGGAAATCCTCCGTCTTTGGTCTGGTTTTTTTAAATTTTTTTTTAGAGCAGTATGTCATGTTTCACATTTGTTTCTGTTTGGAAAAACACATGTTATATATAGAATGATTAAATATTTACTTCTCCAAACTCAAAATAGCAACAAGACAACACAGGGATTCAGTCCTGGTTCGTGAGGACCGACGGAAGACAAGGTTTGAAAAATTCCGTCCTCAGACTGGGCTGGATGTGTGGGTGGACGGCCCACGTTTGTTGACACTGATAAGAGAATGAACGTGGTCTTTGTCACAGGTTTTTTTTTTTTCACCCTTCAGTCATTTGTTAAACGCAGGTCCAGGAACAGTGACCAGCTGGAGGCGCCACGGCGCCTGCAGCGCTCCAGAGTTTTGGAAAAAGTGGATGTTTGCTCCCTTCTTCGCTCACATACGTGTTTTTTGGGCCATCTTCAGGGGTTTTCCTACCACGCTGGTCATGTGTGCAGCTGGAGATGGAGGCCATGCAACGCTAATCCTCCTCCCCGGCTCAGGAAAGTACCCTGCCTCCCTGTGCAGAAGGAAAACAACAAAGAGCTGAGTGTGGCTGCGGCTCCAGCCTCCAGGCCTCGCTGCACCAGCAGAACACGTCCAAGAGTCACAGCCTGCTCCCATCTTTCCACGCATGACTCTCTCCTCTCTCCTCCCCCACGCTTTCTCTCCTCGTCCTCAACCTGTGAAAGAAACATGTGTGTCTTTGGACGTTCTTTGGACGGAATGGCCCGGAGACGGAGACACGTCCTCCATGGTCACATAACTGCAGTAACTCGGTGTGAAATTCTAAAACCTTCAGCTACACACGGACTCCACTCTGTAGAAAATTAAAAAAAAACACCAAAGAACTCCTCTACCCTGACTCTACGTATGTTTTACTTCGATGATAAATGTTTTTTTTTCTCTAACTTTGTCCTCACATCAAATGTCACACTCTTTAATTCTTTCTTCTTTAATACCTTGAAAATCTCAACCAGATTTCTACAGAGGTTCAACTGTGGATCAGTAGGAAAACAGAGCTTTAGTTCAGCTTCATGCTGATGTGCCCTTGGACAGAACACACCCACGTCCACATGCTGCGTCCCCTGCAGAGTCTGTCCCTGGTTCAAATACTCAGACCAGGCTTCATCCATCGAAGCCACGGCTCGTGTTTAGCTGAACACCTCACTGAGGTACTCACAGAAACGAAAGAAAGACACACATGAAGATATTCTTCCACGGCTCTGAAGGTCTGTTTTTTTAGGGTTTTTTTTTCTATCAGTTCCAGATGTCGTTCACTCACAGCGGCGTGTCATCCGGGACAGAGCTGCTGTTCTCATCCTCCGCTCACACCCCCCCTCCCTCCCCCCCCCCGTTCCTGAACACACCATGGCTCACACCAGTGCTGGTAAACTGTTCACTTCATGGACTCAGGTCCCTGTGAGTCACCAACTACACGGAACAGTGTCACAATATGTGGTTAAAAAACAAACAGGCAGATACGTGACACTAATACAACAGTACTACTCCTTAAGTACTACTGCACTGGAAAAGTGTCTGTTGATATTAGTCATAATAATATTAAGAATAAATATTATTTTAGTTATGTACGTTGATATAAAAAAATACTTTTATTGTGCAGTACTCGCCAATATTACCTCATTATTTTCAGTGTATTACCTCTTAACTACCACCAGTCTGACGTTTCCTGTTTGAGCTAAAACCAGAAAAAATGAAAAAAACATTTTTTTATATCTATTACTATAAATACCTACAGTTTAACTACAAACGATACACTGTACTTCATTGTGGTACTACAACTGGTACTTCAAAAAACATGCAGTATCTGCAGGGCTGATTGTGGTGTAACGTTAATTATCTTCCCCTGATTTTATCTCCCGTCACTAATTTGGAAAAAATGTTAAAAAAAATCCCTTTGATTATCACTAGAGGGCGCCCATGTACCACTAGAGGTGTGGGCACCATAGTTTGAGAACCATTTCCCCATTCTATATTTAATTATTCGTAGATTATTTATTACTTGGAGATTTTATTGTATTTTTTCAACACATTTTACTCAGAAATAAAAAAAAAAACCCAACATTTGAAAGTAAACTTGTGTGTTTGTTAGTTGAGACGCTGAAGTAGCGGTGAATATTTATTTGTTTACGGGCTGATTGTTTGGTTCCTGACAAGAGTTGGTTCAACTCCCCCTCCCTCTGTCTCCCCCTCTCTGCCTCTCTGCCTCTCTTCCTCTCTCTCTCTCTCTCTCTCATCTGGTGCTGTGATATTTTCCAGCTCTGGAGCCGGAGCCTCGCAGCTCGATCGATTCCCATTGATTGTCCCTGACGAGCTGCTCCACTTTCGAGCCAATGTCAGCCAGTCTGCGATCGGGAAGGAGAGAAATGAAGGAAAATCTCTGCCGCCCTGGTGGTGTCATTTCCACACACTTGGGTTGGCCGCCTGCCAGCAGACTGGGAGGAGGGAAGAGCAGGTCTGGAGCCTGGAGCCTGGAGCCTGGAGTCTGGAGCTGGAGCCTGGAGCCTGGAGGGGAAGGAGGAGAACGGGTTAGGCGGCGCTCCATTCCGGCTGTCACTGGACGAAGGTGGAGTTCAGGCCAGGACAGTCCGGTGGTTCAGTGGACCACATCCTGGGTCAGAACCAGAACCAGAACCAGGAACAGAACCAGAACCAGGGGGTGGAGGGGTGAAATTGGTCAAGAATATGAGAGTACGCATGTACAAAAAACACATCCAAAAACCTGCCATTCTACCGTCACCCACTGAGAGGTGTGGGGGTGAGGGTGGAGGGTGGGGGGGGTATGAGTGAGACTGTGTTGGGTGGAGGACCTGGGGTGGAGGACCTGGGGTGGAGGACTTGGTGCAGTGGTTGTAGATCATCACGGAAGAGTTGAAGTATTTCAGCTAAAATAAAAAGTGACGTGACCAGTTTAACCAATCACAGTCGGCGTTCATCAAACTAGACGATGATGTCATTGACCGCCAGTAGAAGTACACCGATGTACACCAACTGAAGTACTTCATGGATACAAACTATGGAGTTGATGAGAATCAGGGCGAAATACATGAATGAACACCAACTCACCTGTAGGTGGAGTCAGGGGGCTGGGGTAAGGATCAGCAGACTTCCTGGTTTGACGTCAACGACCGTGAAGGAGATTTAACAGTTTGACGAATTTTGGTAAAAATTCGTCAGATTTTTGTTGATGATTTTACTAAGACAAGAACCTCAGAAAAAAATCAGAATAAATTGGATTAACTATACTAACTAACTACTAACTACTAACTACTAACTAACTAGCTACTAACTACTAAGTACTAACTAGCTAACTAATAACTACTAACTACTAACTAACTACTAACCAACAAACCAACTAACCACTAACTAACTAACAAACTAACTAACTACTAACTAACTAACAACTAACTACTAACTAACCACTAACTAACTACTAACTAACTACTAACTACTATCAACTACTAACTAACTTAACTACTAACTACTACCTAACTCCTAACTAAATACTAACTACTAACTAACTACTAACTACTAACTATTAACTAACTAACTAACTAACTACTAACTAACTACTAACTAACTACTAACTAACTACTAACTAACTAACTTGCTGACTGTCTCACAGAAGTTTTGTCTGGATTCGCACCGATAACTCTGTCCTGAGATCACACTGAGCCCCCTCCCCTCTCTCTCTCTACCTCTCTCTCTCCCTCTCTCTCTCTCTCCCACCGTTGAAGCCGGGGCAGCTGAGAACTCCACTCCGCCTTTTCCTCCCCTCCCGCACCGATCTATGAAATCTGTTGTGCATGTTCGTCTCCGCGAGCGCGGATGTAGAGAGAGGTGGGATTGCGAGGAGCGAGCGAGAAAGCAAAGGGGGAACCCACGCGTTTCAGCCGCCTCTCCGAAACTCCACGGCGTCTGGCCGAAGCAGCTGACGGTGAATGTTTTCTTTTTCTTCCTCACACCGGCCCGACGCTGACAGACTCTGTGCAGGACTGTGTTCCCGGAGCAGCAGCTTTTGCCCCTCTTTGTGCCACCTTGTCTCCTCTTGGTCACCGTGGTGCGCGGCGCAGGCTGAGAGAGACACGGAGCGCACGGACTGTGGGAGCCCTCCCTCCCTCCCCTCCGCCCGGATCCGCTTCGGTAGGTGCGAATAAAAAACTCAAACATGTAGATAAATATGGAAGATGAGGGAGGGGGCTGGCCGGGGGTCAGAGAGAGAGAGAGGGGGGGGGGAGGAGAGGAGGAGGCAGGAGGTGTGCGGGAGGTCAGACTTTGCTCGAAAGTCTGTTGAAAGTTAGAATGTCACGTCTGTGGTGCTGGACCCGGGCCCCAGCCCGTGCGCTCACCAACACTCCCCCGCCGGGCCCCCAGCCGGCGCCGCAGAGCCGCAGAATCGGACTCGGACACAGTAACGATAACAACAATAACAAAGCGCAGCCAGCAGAGGCAGCAGCTGGGTGCGTAATTACGCGTCAGCTCAGGTGATGTTTCATATCCGTGCTCCCGGAATAATCCGTGCGCAGCGTGTCCTTATCGGCGCTGGTGCGGGTCCAGGGCTGAAGCTCGAGTCTGGCGCTTTGTTGTGGATCAGCTGTTAAAAATAACGCGCACTCAACTTGTAGATGAAGCAGAGGAGGTGGACGCGCGTCAGTGCGGCGTTCTGCTGTAATTTGACATCAGACGCTTTTTAATCGGAGTGAA